GCGGCTTGAGATTAACATGACTACTACCATACGATGGAATGTCAAACTGTTGGGAAAGGCTTTGGTGTAGTGCTTGCATTGCTTGAACAAACTTCTATTCAGAATAACTATAATGTTAGATGTGGAAAAGTGTCATTTCATAAACTCCATGGAGCTGCTGTTGAATATTATTGTATGAATGAAAATATATCCATTTATGGGGTACTAACCTTAATTTCTTACCATAGAGATGACCCTGTGCTTATTTCTATTATCTTCCACTAGAGGGCAGACCTGGCTTATATTGGGTCAGTTAAAACGCATGGTTTTAATTAACCAAGCAGTTTCACAGGAAGCTTACACTATTTTGCAATTACTAAATTAACAACCACATTTAGGTACGATAGCAGTTGCAATTTTCCACATAAAACCTTTGATCTGGTTGCATGAAATACGCGGTTTAGGCTTAGTTCTAATTGACTGATTGCATGACAGAATCCTTGGGAAACACACAGATGCCTTTTACGTATTTTGTTTAATGAAACAGTGTACATGAAGACCTGTGAGTGAGGACCAGACCATCATGCTGACAGCTGGGACACACCGTCGGGTCACAAACAAATAATTCTTGACTCGGATGATGCATCAAGGACACTTGATGTGGAGAGAGCCCTTTTACCACACCAGGGAGTCTTTTCTGAATTTCTCCCCACATTTTCTGCAACTCTACAAACTGGTAATAGAGGCCATTACAGATATTATGGATGACATTGAGCATGACATCAGCTCTGTAAACAAAATCCACAATGTCATTCTACGCACAGTCAAAGACCTCTTTATTCTCCATTGCTAAAGCTCTGCCTCTTTTTATGGCACAGTGACTTCCATCAATGGAATATTCCAGCCTCCCTTCTACCACATTCTGGACTAGATGATATGGGCCATACTGCAGGGAATCTCAAGAGTCATATACAGTATTTCACCGCTACACAGTCTACTATTACAAAGGTGAAGAGTAGCGTCTATGTACTGCCCGCCACTATACAGTCAGCTGTTACAAGTGTGGAGAGAGGCGGATCTGTGCACTGCCCACCGCTATACTATCTGCTGCTACAAGTGTGGAGAGTGGGGTCTATGCACTGCCCACCACTATACAATCTGCTTTTACAAATGTGGAGAGTGGGGTCTATACACTGCCCATCACTATACAGTCTGCTGTTACAAGTGTAGAGAGTGGGGTCTATGCATTGCCCTTTGCTACACAGTCTGCTGTTACAAGTGTGCAGAGTGGGGTCTATGCATTGCCCACCACCACACAGTCTGCTGTTACAAATGTGGAGAGTGGGGTCTATGCACTTCCCACCACTACACAGTCTGCTGCTACAAGTACGGAGAGTGGGGTCTATGCACTGCCCATCACTATACAGTCTGCTGTTACAAGTGTGGAGAATGATGTCTATGTACTACCCACCACTATACAGTCTGCTGTTACAAGGTGAGGATTAGGGTCTATGCACTGCCCACCTCTATACTATCTGCCGTTACAAGGTGAGGATTAGGATCTATGCACTGCCCCCATTCCCACTTTGATTAGAGCTTTGCAAAGTACCAGCTTCCATAACTTACATAATTCTGACCAACTAGCAAAGGGTATCAATCACAGTATCAATGCCAAGTCTATGTACCACAGTAACTGAATCTTTACCCACATCTGTGTTAGATTTCCTGATCCTGCAGAACTGCAGCTTGACACTGGTCATGGAATCACATACGTGAAGGACACAGAGGGAGGTAAATCAAACCCAAATCACATGAATCTTGACTATTGGGAATTCTCATTAAGCTGAAAATGATGCATAGTAATTGATACATCGGCAGCAGAGCGAACAAAGATTACTTAAAATGACTTGTTGATGTACAATTTAACCTAAATAAGGATGTAACATTGGTAGATTCATCTAGAAGGTATAAAGAGACAGGGTTATTCATCAAACTCTTAATTTTCACAGATCCAAAAAGGATAAACTGAGGAAAAAACTGCTGATCTGGAAAAAATCTCCAGCTCTGACATAGTCACAACTTGGTTATTTTTGCCTCATTTTGCCAAATTGGATTTAATTAAAAAAAAAAAAAAAGAAATAAAGAAGAAAAAAAAAAAGGAAAGTTGAAGAATGGTAACAATTGGTAAGAATCCATGAATTTGGCTAGTAGGGGGTACAGTATGTTGACTAGAATTTTATTGAACAGCTATAGGTGTTAACCAGAGAAGTTAGCCTTTAGCACTCGCAATATCTGCAGGAAAGATTGGTTCCGCAGAATAATCTTTCCTGAAATTGAAATGATGTTCTGGATGTCTGATTCTTGCACATATGATGGCTCAGCCAAATTTTGTCTATCAGTGCACCGGAAAACACCTTACTTAACTTAACTTAATAAAAAAAACACCTTACTGCTAACCTGTGCTTGCAGGACTTCTTGCGGGCGGCTCTTTTCCCTTGGAAATGCCTGCCTACCACCATCAGATTCTCCCCTAGTCTTCAATCATTTAAGAAGTCCTCCAAACCCCATCTTTTCAGAAAAACTTATGGCCACCCAGAGTAACCTTTACCTCACATACCTGTCTCTTTCTGTCTCTTAAAGGACCACAGTCTATTCTCAACCCCAGTTCTGCTACATTTCCCTCCTTGTTTGGTTGCTGTCCCCCTCAATACATGTCCTATTGTGCTTTTGTACCCCACCTCCTCTAGACTGTAAACTTGTTAAAACAGGATCCTCATCAACCTATTATTTCTGTAACCTTTTGTAAAAGTCTTATTTATTGTTAAATGTACCCCTTTTATAATATTGCAAAGCACTGCGGAATGCATTGGCTCTATATAAATGCTAATTATAATAATAATACCTTCTCTATTGTTATGGAAACATTTTGAGGGTATAGGTTCATGACAGTCAAACAAGAGTTGAGACTGGTTCTGCAGAGGGAAGAAGACTTTTTTTTCCCCATCATATAAGCTTTTATAGTAAAAGGCAAGTCTGTAATTTTGCAGAGGCTGTTATAGTTAGGAGATGGATCTCTAACGGCTTTATGGACAAATGACTGTAAGGACCTTTGGAGGGCTCTCAGTGTTTATCACGGAATACTTCATTTAAGGCAGAACATTTGTCTGTAAGTTGGTTGACAACAGTGTCCACTCATGTCAGTTAATGTTTATGATCCAAACATTATGAATTTGTGGAAACAAGCGATCTCTTGTCATTAAGGGGAGGGTCCTAACTTGATCAAATGATCCTAAATAACCCCCATGCATGCTGCTGCTGCTGAAATAAGGGGCAGTTACGTTCTGGCAATCAGTAACAGCTTTATTGAGTTCAGTTGATTTGGAAGTAAATTGGAGGAGAGTTGGAACGTCCCTGACTTAGAAAACATACATGGTTTCAATGGTGGCATGGTCAGACCAGACAAATTGGTGTAGTTATGCATATAATAAGAGCTGTAGTAAAAGGAACTGACTAATAGAGACTATGTCAGTGGGGAGAGTGAGTTATGGACAGTGCAATAAAATATACAATCTCCTCTGTAAAGTATGATACCCTCTATTTATTAGCAAGTTTGGCCAGGTAAAATATTGTGGTGTCTAA